GTTTGGAAAAAGTGCTGTATATTCAGTTTGAAGCAGTGCATTTAAGCTTGTTTTCCCATAGCCAAAACAGCAAATAATAGAATCAGTCAATAATTTTATTCCCTTTTGTTTTCTTGTAGGTATTTTGCATACTAGCTCCATTACTTTAATGTAATGTAATTTGCTGTGGTTCACATGATTAATTACTATTACTGTAAGTTCTGCTAGATCAAGCTAATGAACACTGAGCACAGTTTCCTGTCACTTCTCATCCCAGCTCAGTCCCCCTTCCACACACAGAGTAAAACCTCAGGACTGTGAAAACTCAGCTGTGTTTAACTACCACACCCAAATTTAGCTAAACCCTTGTAAGTGCTCAAAAACATCTAAACACTGATAGGAACTTGGAGGTGTAGCAATATTTGATAATCCCATCTCCCATAGCAAATGTTCGCTGTGGCAAGGAGATGTGCTTTTATCTACCTGCTCACAACCGATATTATTCAGCACAGCCCAACCCCAAACGAAGCGAACGTTTAGAAACCATTAATATCATTTTAAAAAGGTATTTGAGCCCTCTCTTTTGGCCTCTGTTTGGCTGTGCCGGGCCGCTGAGTGACAGCCTCCCTGCTTGAAGCGCGCAGAAAGCACAGCCTTCCTCATTCACTGTCAGCTCCGTGGCCTTTTCACACGTTCCCTCCGGAGCAGTGTTTGTCCCCAAACACTGGGACGCGGCACAATGGCATTCCTGCCCCGACAGCCCCGCTACCGCCGGGGAATGCTAATGAGGGACATCCCCCAGGGCCAGCCGCATCCCCAGCCCGGCCCGGCTACTCCCATTGTTACACGGCGCAGCTCTGCAGCTCCTCGGGAAGGGCTTGCGCCTTTCTCCCCGAAACTATTTCTGGTAGATGTTCTAAAGGCTTGGCAGGGAAAAAAATAATTTTTGAGTCTTGCATGTTTTCCTGCATGCATTATGGATAAAATTAAGTGATTATATGATGTAAAATAATTATGGAGAATAATATATATAAAATTTGCTGGTTTATGATATAAAATAATTCTATATACTATTTGCTGGGTTTATGATCTAAAATAATTATATAATTATATCTATAATACATATAATATCTATAAAACCAAAGAATTATATAACTATATCTATAATACGTATAATATCTATAAAACCAAAGAATTATATAATTATATCTATAATACCTGTATCTATAAAAACATAGAATTATATAATTATATCTATAATACATATAACATCTATAAAAAGAATTATGTAATTATATCTATAATACATATAATATCTATAAAACCAAAGAATTATATAATTATACCTATAATACCTATATCTATAAAAACATAGAATTATATAATTATATTTATAATACATATAATATCTATAAAAACATATATAAAATTTGCTGGTTTGTGCTATAAAAGAATTCTATATAATATATAATTTACTGCTTTTATGATATAAGAGAATAACATAATTATATAAATTACATATATAAAATTTACCGGTTTTATGATCTAAAAGAATTATATAATTATATCTATAATACATATAATATCTGCTGCTTTTATGATATAAGAGAATTATATAATTATGTACATAATATATATAAAATTTACTGGTTTTATGATCTAAAAAAATTATATAATTATATCTATAATACATATAGTATCTGCTGCTTTTATGATATAAGAGAATTATATAATTATATAAATTATATATATAAAATTTACTGGGTTTATGATCTAAAATAATTATTACATGATATATAGAAAATTAACTGCTTTTATAATAGGAAATAATTCCATAAATATATATGTAATATATAGAAAATTAACTACTTTTATAATATAAAATAATTTCTATAATATATAAAATTTACTGATTTTGTGATATAAAAGAATTCTGTAATTATATATGATATACAGAAAATTAACTGCTTTTATGATATAATTATATAAGTATATATTAGACAAATAAAATTAACTTTTAATTATATAAAATAATTCTATAATCTTATATAAAAATATATATATTAAATTTACCATTTTTATAATATAAAAATTATACTATTATATATATTATATATAAAATTAACTGGTTTTACATAAAATTAACTGCTTCTAACCCCCAGAGATATTTGGGGATCCCAGAAATTCCAGCAGATGCCTACACAACATGTTTAAAACAGCAAGGCAAAAGGCTGACCCCTGAAATATTAATAGTAGATGAACTCTAACAGAACTCGTGGGGGGTTTTTTTTGTTGTTGTTTTTTTGGTATTAGCTGCATTTTACCCACCCAGAATTCATGCCATTAAAATGTCAGCATAAGCTTTGCTGAAATTTTAGGAAAGCTTATAGCTCATCATACACATATGCAGCTGAAATTAGAAAGTAAAAGATGGAGGATTTTAGGATTTTTGCAGTACAGTGTTTGTACATTTTTTTAAACTTTCTCATTGATTTAAAGAAAAATAAAACCAGTTCTCAGTGCTCAAGTATTCCCTGAGTTTCACCTGGTTTACTTTGCCTATATTGATTTCAGGGAACACTTGGAAGAACATTTCCTGTCCCATGTGAAAGGCTACAAACACCCAGCCGAGGGGCAGGGACTCCTCACCGTGCCCTTCCCTGGGGCAAGGAGCAGCAGTGAGATAAAGACAACACTTTTTAAATTCAATACATGCCTTTTTGACTGAAGTCCAGGTGGATTTAACAGAAGTACCAATATTATTACAGAATTATGTGTATTAGCATATTATTAGTTGTATGTGGTACTTGATTTCAGCACTAAAGTGCCTTAGCAGAATGATACTGAATCAAAGAATGTAACTTTAAAATTTGCTTTCCCCTGTCATTTACATGAAAAGACAAAGTAAATAGAAATAATTCAGGTGTGCAAAGAGACAAATGGAAATGGAGCAAATCTATTTGATGCTGTCAGGCAGTGGCTGGGTGTTATGTTGGTGTGAATTCTGTGTGCAGCCACCACAGCACTGCCCTGCCAGGCCTCAGCACAACAGGACAAAGTCAGAATATTTCCCTTGAATGTCCTGGTTTGTTTTTAATGTGCCTCTAACCTTGGATCTGTACCACAGCACAACCTGCTCGTCACAAAATAAACTTTATTCAGACAAGGTTGACATAAACAAAAAGGTGTAAGAGCACAGTGAGGAGAACTGTTACACCTACAGCTGAAATAATCCCCAGTTGCTATAATGACTTCATTTATGCTCAGTACTAACACAACTTCAGTTAGAAAATGGCTGGAAAATTAATAGAGAGACACTTTATACTGAATTATATGTTGTATCTTATCTTTAAAGTAATATAACTCAACACAAGATTTTGGCACATTAACTGCACAAAAGATTTAACATCCTCGTGCTGTAAAATTTTCATTTAAGCACTTAATTCAGTCTGAAATGCTTATTAAAACACTTTCATTATAAGGTTTTTGTAGACTGTCATAGCTGTACTGACATTTATCCCCATAAACTGGACTCCTAAAACTTACAAATGTCCAAGCTGATTATATGAGCATATATCTATATGCAAGGCTTACATTATATGAAATCATTTGTCTTCATGAGAGATTTCAAATCTACTAAAATTGTTTTCTTTTTCTTGTCACATACAATTTTCCATTGAACACTGACAGATAATCACCAGGAGAATGATTAGCATGAGCTGATTTACTGAAATGTCTTTATATACTCTTTACAGAAAAGAGTGACAAGTAGTAAAAAAAAACTTTCATGGGAATTTCTATTTAGAAACTCTATTGTTTGTTCTGTTCAACTAATTGCCATTATACTTGCTAAATACTTGTATGCATTATCTATATTTGTATTTATTTAACAGTTAATATTATGTTTTAAGGCACTGGAAAGTAGAAGATTTCAGTTCTGTGGCTTTTGTGACAGGCAACATTGTCTTAAAAGGGTAGAACTACCAATAAAATGTGTAAAGATATTTCCCACTATTTAATATATCACTGTACTGCCTCAGAAACAAGCTTTATTTTCCTTTTCTCGTTTACATGCTCTTTTTTTTTTTTTGGGGGGGGGGGTGGGCTGGGGGTTGTTTGGGTTTGGGTTTTTTTTGTTTTGTTTTTCTAGCTGACCACTGTTAGTTCTGGAGAGGAGCAGCATCCCCCAGTTCTCATTTCTCTGGGTGGATCTGTCAGCAGGAGGTGCTGTATAAACACAGTGAGTTACACTGTGCCTGCTCCTCTCCTCCCCCTTCTTTCCTCCAGCCTGGAGCTGCTCATCCTCAATTCTGGGGCAAGCAGCACTTGGAAATCTCAGCCTCCTCAATGCCTGCTTCATCTCATTTTTGCCTTCAAAACCTTTATGTCTCCTATTTTCACCTAGTCCTTAAAAATATATGTACATCCTTAAAAATATAAATGAAATTATTTTGCTGTGCTTAGCAAGATCACCGTTTTCTCACTTGTTTCCTAAAATTTGAGTAATAAAAAATTGCTCCTAAACTGTCAGGATTAGCGAGTATCTGTTTGCCACTGCTTTTTCTAGTTGCAAATTCATGTCTGGTACATTTGTTACAGAAATTTAAAAAATTATGTTTTAAAATATACATTTATTGAGTTTTTCATGTTAGCTGTACTTAGAATAGTTTTATTTATTTATAATATGTTTCAACTGAATCATTGTTTTAGTTCAGTAGGAAGACTTTTGAGACAACTGAAAGCTGCCTGTGCAGAACAGCAGTGAGAACTGATGGCTTTAGAGAATTTCCACCCAGGGAGCATCCTGGCTCGGCAAAAATGCAGCCCATGACATCCCACACCACCAGAGAGGCACAATTAACTCCTCTATTAATTGTGGGCTCTGCAATCACAGGACAAGCATTTCCTTCTCCTAACAGGCACTGCAGCATCTCCAGCCTGTGGCACAGCTGGTGTTACACAATCAGTACATTTGAAAAGAAAAACAGACAAGCAGACTTTTAAAGAGTGGGACAACTCACCTGTTTGCAACACTTTGCAGGCTTTACTCGTTGGTGCAGGGCCAATAGAACTCCTCGGATGTAAATCTCTGCTCCTGAGGGGCTGAAACCTCCTCTCTCAAAGACCCAAACAGGTCCACACAAAGGTGTGATGACATTTTGCAGGCGTCTGTCAAGCAGCGAAGCTATGCAAAGAAAAGCAGAAAAAGAGAATAAAACCCCCACCAAACAAGCAAAAGAAAATGCATTCTTTTGACCCAACTGAAATATACAGCCTCTAACACAGCCTCGGCACCAGAACTAACTCTTAATATCTATTATTTATATCTGACCTGGGTTAAGTCTTGGAAAAGCAACTCCTGCATTTCTAGTGGGCACCATGAAGGAGGTATTTATGTGGAGACACCCCCAGGAAAGGCTGAGCACGCCGTGAGCACACCTGAGTAGCTCTGAAGTGTGCCTAACTAGCTGTCGTGGTGTGCACTGATTGCCTTATCTTCTCATTTATCACAGATGAGTTGGAACCAACCTTGCTGAAACCCACTTGCTTTGTCCTGATCAAATTGCAAGATCCATGTTGTTTCTGTACACAGTTTGCTGTTGAGGGGCTGAAACACACCCACAATATTGGAAAGGTAACATTCATAAAATAGAATCAACGCTCTCAGAAGCTGTTTTAGTATAACCTCCTCTTTGCCACCGCCTAAAAACCAACTTCTAACAAATAAAATTGCTCAGTGTGGCTGGATAATAATAAAGGTTAAATTAGAAAGGTCAAATGAAAAGAGAAATAAAATTGATTTGCGGCAATGCTCTCAACAAGATCTTTTCCTTGCTGTTCTTAGATTTCAAATCACTGCAAAGGTTGAAAGGATTCTCTCAAAGGGACCTAATGGCAATATGTGAGATAAATAACGAATTATTATTTTGGCTTCAGGCATTACTCAGGTGCATGTGCTCTGCACACATTTCTCTGTAAAATATGTGGGCCTTTCTTATACAACAAAATAAAATAACATGAAGCAACATTCAAGGGGAGGAGAGGGAAGGGGAAGGAGCCACAAAAAATCTGGTTTTCTGAGCAATATGAAACAAAATAAAAGGAAATAAATCTGCATAAAGCACACCTGTGAACAATGCAAACAAAATTATATCATTTCCCCATCTAGTCAATCTGTGGTCATAAAGATTCTCGTTAGCTATGTTGGTATAAATGGTAGATTTCCTAAGTACATAAAGACTGACAAAGAACTGCAAATTTTGTCAGAGAAAATACCAGAGGAGGTGAATTACACTTTCTATATTTTATTAGAATAGGAAATGTGCTCTATTTGGGTAACGTAAATATTAAGCCTCAATAGCTGTTCACTCAGCTGTGAGAAGAGCATCTGAACCAAGACCTCAGTTAAGAAACTTTCATCTGCAAGTTCTTTAATAACTGGAGACTTTTGGATGGACAAAGAAGGAGCATCTCATATGGGTGCATATATCTTCAAGGATAGAGGAACAGGTAATCATGCAACATATGTATTTTACCTCTGCTAAAGTCAGTTTATTTTAGGAATTTTTGAAACACACCGTTTCAGTGAAACTGTGTTTATTTTTTGTGAAAGGCATTACTGTTTTAAAAATCATGTTGAAGTCCAGGTCTTCTGACTTCCACAATTTCATTATGAAATTTGATTATCTAGTCAGTAATTGTATGTATTCTCACAAAAACATTTCTGAGCACTTCCATACAGTACACTTGTCTTTTATTTAAAGGGAGAGCAGACTTAACAAAATGAGACTGAGGATTCACTGAACAAGTTAATATGCATATTGACCTACTCTAATGATTATCTTATTTAGTATTAAAGAGCAATACTGCAAGACTTTTTGAAAATATTTCATCAAAGCAAAGACCCCAAACCAGAACACACACAACAGACCATTAAATATTTGCTTTTCAAACATGATTTCTCAGGATATGGCCATGCAATTGAAAATGAGCAAAAATTATCTCAAGTTGACAATAAGTGAATTAATAGTTTTCCAGTCTATTTTAATAATGCACTTCTTATCATGTGATTAGGTGAGATAATGAATGAGATTTGACCAGGAACACTGGTAGGGGTGAATTTACTTCAGTGAGCAGCATCAGAATCAAATCTATGTTTCACGTTATGTGATAAGAAGTGGTTATAGTCTTACTTGGTTTAAAAATAAAAGGACGAAAATCTGATCCCAGTGATGTCTTTGGAAGGTTTGCAAATAACTGACCTGAATGTGATTTTTATTCAGTGCTTTTTAACTCAGTTACCATAGGATAAACTTCACAGAAGTGAAGATCAAGATAAGTAGTGCTGATTATCTGAGCGTAAACTGAAACATAACTGTGGAAAAATGTTTATATGCTTACTGGCATTGAGTGTTACATTTGAAACACCAATTATAATACTTACAATAATTTAGTTTTGCCATAAATAATTTTAACATCAGTATAATGCAGTAGTGTCAACCCATTTTCTCCTTCAGGACCAGAGAGGGAGAGTGCCAAGATCTGCTGGGGTATCTTGGAATTTAAAGATTCAAACTGTCACCTCTTTCAGACATACCTAGCACCCAAATTACTCAGCAACACTGAGTATCAGACCAAACTAATTTTCTATAAGCAATAACCACTTCCATAAACATCAGCTGACTTTATCCATAATGGTATTTACTTCATTCCACACTCAACCTTATTGTTTCCAGATTTATAGTTTCAAAGTGCTTGTATTCTTGCTTCTTTTTTTTCCCCCAATTCTTTTGACCACCTTTTTAATAATCAAAATATCAATGGTATTAAGTTATTAAGCATTCACTGAAGTACAAAAACGTGTGCCTAGAAAGTTGAAGGAATAAAGGTAGAACACCAGAGCAGTCACTTCATAAGAGTACACTTTCACTGAAATATTCCATAACTTTATTCTGTATGGTGACTCCAGAAGACGCTTAAGATAAAAAGCCCTCAAGATAGATTTAAAAAAAAAATATCTTTTTTTTCCCCATGGTTTAAGAACATTTATGTTGTTCTTATTTGGAGCTGATGCAGGTATGCAAGAACAATTTCCAATGAAGTTAGTTACTTCCATACATTTTGGTGATTTACCTAAAACAAAGAAGGTATTAGTTTGAACTATCACCTTTTAAAAACCTCACAGATCAGCAATGACTTCACAAACTGTCTCCCAACTCCACAGGAGTGCTTTGCTACTGTGGTTTAACACAAAGCAATCTACAACGCAAGATGAGAGAACATACAGGCAAAATTTCACAATAAGTTTGCAAATCTTTTAGAAGTCCATTACAGCTGATCAAACATTACAAATTGAGCTATGAGGCAGGACCAGGAAGGCCAATAACAGCAAAAGAAGGTAAATTTAACCCTTGCAGGAAAGTGCACAGGCTGACTTGCAGGAAGAACTCATCATGATGTGTCCTTCAGGAGGTTAGAGAGCAAAGGAAGGCAGTTTTGATTATGGAAAACACTTTAAATTATAGGCAAAATCCCTTTTGTTTCTAAGTTTCATGAAGAATTTTAAAACCTGCCTTAGAACCAAAATGCCTTTTTTTTTTGTCTTTTAATGAGTAATTTTTCCCATTGCAGCAGTTTAACCTGCTGGGGAGTCAGCAATGGATAAAAGGACAGTACCAAGGAACTTTGCTCCTCAGCTAAGCTGAGCAGTGTAAATACACCTTTATTGGTTTTATTCTCCTCCTTATTGATTTTTTTGACTTCAAATAATATAACAAACATTGAATTTCCTTGAAGAAAATAATTGTTTCACAGTGTAATTTTACACTCCTCTGAAGAAAAGAGATGTGAAATTTTCCCTAAAGCAAAACCCAGTGATTTTAAATTGGAGATGGAGAAAATAGCATGATGCCATTGTGGCAAATGGAAGAGAAAAATCTCGAATTGTTTCACTTTGTCTTGTCTTTAAACTTGCTGAAAATTATAAAAGTGCAATGTTTCTCAAATTAAGTATCATAAAGGATGAAATCCAGCAGGGTTTCCACAAAAAGCAAGCAGAACGTTTGTAAAGGAATGGGAAAATCACCCTCTGGCAATTTGCAATCATCACCAGTGGACCACAAAAAAACTAAAAGGCAAATCCCCCAAAATTTAGTTTGTTAACTTTCTTCTTACTTAGAACCATGACACTACTGGAGCACAGACATAATTTCTTATTATATTATTTGTTATTATTTATTATATTATGCAGAGTTAATTTCTCCATCAATTTCTCTTAGCAAACAAGGTACCAAATGGCTTTTTTTTTTTTTAACCAAATAGCAGTATCAGAACAAGCAAACATAAATCACCAACATTAATTTCCATTAGGGGACACAAAGATCTTTGAATATGACCAACATATTAGAAATTCTTTCTGAACTTTCTAGTGATAAGGCTTTTTTCCTGAAGGTACTTTGGTACTTTCAATATGCCCTGTACATTTACATATATATGTATATAGATCACTGAGGGCATAAGATGGAGTTGATGCTCACAGCACTTCACATTTCTAATATTTTTAGCAATAGGTAGCAACTTCTGATTGTTACTAACCATTTAGCAGTTCCTTGTCCAGGGCAACTGGCACACACTGCCCAAAATTGTAACTTGCTTAGGAAAACAATGATGGAGACCATGCATTCTCCTCTGTTGCTTAAATTACATCAGGGTGTTTTTACTCAAACACAAACTAATCTAACAGCTGCTGCGTACTTTTGTTTATATGCTATATGTCAAATCCTATTGTCCCCAAGGTACTTATGAGAGATGCTTTAGCAGTCATTTTCTTAAATACTGATGCCTATGTGAATTTGGATTTTTCCACCATTGAACAGCATGACAAGTACACGATTGCTGTACTTAAAGCAATCTTTCACAGCTGCTTTGCTTTCCCAGTGATCCCATTAAATTGACGGCATATGCCTGTGGGGTCTGCAGTGTTACAATTCTGCTGAACAAGATGTTGGTTGTACACTATAAATTCCTACGACACAACCTGGCTTTTTTTGTGGGAACCACTCCTCTGATCATCCTTCTGTTTGTTTGTTTGTTTTTTACCTAAGCAAAATCAAATTTAAAACCTTATCCATGGCTGTACCCTTTACTGAAGAGCTGGTTGTGTTAATGGGTTAGAAGTGGAAACTCTAACCCTGAAAACCTACCAAGGCTCCTCAGTTCCTAAAATGAGCATGAGTCATGTCTTTCCTGGACTGAAGGAAGTAGCTGTGCATTAAATATGCTGGCACATCTTCTGCTTGAGCAAGTGGACCGAAATGGTGTGAATTGTTAATGCCTTGCTGCTTTGGTTCACGGCTTGTGATTGATCATTTGTAACTATATCTACTCCTTGTTCCATGAAATCAAGTATGGAGTAATGGGTTCATCAGATTTTTGGGTTAAATTGAGAGTGAAGAGGTACTGTGTGTGGAAATAAGAGTTGCCATGTTCGGGGCTGGCCTTGTAACAGCATGGAATCTAAAGGCGATATTCAAAACCACTTCACTCATCACACGCTTACTGATTCTGAATAGGGTCCATTTGCAGGGGACATTTGGGAGTTTTCCAATGCACTTTATGCCTCTTTCTTCACTTCTACCACCCTGCACATCTCTTTTTTTTTTTTAACTAGAACAACCTATAACATGTCAGAGTAGAAAATTAATAAATTTACGTAACTTGCTATGTAAAAGTTAAAATAGGCTTGGGCTGAAATGAGTGTCCTGCTAATTAATGATGCTACCTAAATATTGTCAGGCTAAAAGAACTTGGCAGAGTTTTACTCAGTAGAAAGAATTACAGTCTCATATTTTGTAGAAACTTACTCTTCCAGGCAGAAAAAGAGCTACACAGCCTGAATTTTCACTCCTCAATCCTTCCATGTGCAGGAATGACACACACACTTTCAGACATTACAACACAGCTCATGACTTTGCAAACAGCAGTGTGTGGGACCACAGCAAATCCAAGCCAACAGCAACCAGAAGTGACAACTTGTGATGGCCTGCAGGAGAGTAATCACACACAGTGTCTCCACAGAACAAGAAAGGTAATGAATGTCAAACTTGCTGCCACGCTCACACTGCTCTGTTTGGAAAACAGAAACCTTCCCAGACTCACCGTGCTGCCTCAGCTGCTCTAGGTAAATTCCACCAGGTCAGAATCAAACACAGCAATGTGTTTCCCTGTTTTAAAATAACCAATGGAAGCGATTTAATCCCATGTGAATGTTCCGAGTGGAATGAACAAATCACTGTGGTCATGTGAAACGTACATCTAGGCTTTCCATCTGCTCTTGTGCTGAAGTTCAGAGACAAAACTGAAATGTGGACAAATTAAAGACCAAAAAAGAAATACTGAGCAACAACAGGCTACTTTGCTCCTCATTCAGGAGTAAAGAGAGAAATGGAAGGGAATTAAATGAAAGTGCAGTGGAAAGGAGTGCACTGCATGTATACATCTGTGTTATTTGCGATGATTATAACTTCCTTAAGACAGCAATACAGCAGTTCAGTTTCAGTTCATCCAATCTGGAGCACACAAGATTCTTTATTTCTCTTTGTTTAGTATTTATCTTGATGAATGTAGGCACAGCACAAGCCTATAGCAATCCAATCCATGCACGAGTTTTGTCTTGAAGAGTTTTGGGGAGACTTCACCCATGAAATGTTGGAAAAACAGAGCCATCACAAATGAAGAAGCTGCATCTTCAAACTAATTTTGAAAACATTCCATCTTTTTCCCTCTTAACTCTTCTGCCTTTATGTGAGCACCTTGCTGAGGTCAGGTTCTATATCTCAGTATTAAATCAGGGGTTTTTTAAACTATTTGGACATAAAATTACTTTGTTGGCTCATCATTCTTATAGGAAAGCTTTCCCATGCCTACACAAGGAGCTGTGCCACAACTGGAAGATGTTCATCAAGTCTATAAAGTCTTTCATAAAAAACAAGTAATTTTCCTGGCAGCCAGTGAGAGGCTGAGAAGGCTTTCTCAGCCCCAGTATGCTCAGAATTCTTGAGAACAGCTCATTCTGACACCCTACTGCAGCTCACCTGGTGACTTCACAGGTTCACAGAATGGCTGAGCTTGGGAGGGATTTCCAGAGGTTTTTCTAGCCCAAATCCCTGCTCCCAGAAGGCTCAAGCAAGAGCACATTGGCAGGGTTTTCTGTGGTGTGTTTTGAATAGCTCTAAGCATAAGACTACAAAACATCTTTGGACAAACTCTTCAGTGTCTGAGCAACTCACAGAAAACTTTTTATTCTTATGCTGAAGTAGAATTTTCCACACATGGGTTTTTACCTACTGCTTCTTATCCACTCACTGAATTTTACTGGGAAAAATCAGAATACATGTTCTTTACTCCCTGCCAGCCCAGCCTGTCCTTGTGGATTGGATTATGGCTCTCCAGCAGCAGGCCTTGGCATTTCCCTTTGCTGGGCTTTAAGGGATTCCTCTCTACCTATTTATGCATTGTTTCTCCAGCATTTATTCTAACATGCAAAAGTTCCTTAAGACTTACAAGAACAACACATACTGTCAAGTTCAATACGTGTTTCAACTTAAGTAGAAACTACTGGAGAAAATAAATCTTCATGACTCTGACCTTATGTACATCAATTTCATCCAGGCAAAAGAATCACTCCTAGTGAACTACAGTTTAAAAAACCCAAACTACTTATGAAAGGATACTTTCAGCTTTCAAAACAAGCAACTGCAGCACTACCCTAAAAAATTACTAAAAAGCAGAGGTGGTGTTTTCTGTTCAACCAGGAGAAAGAGGCAATATTGATGTCATGATATTTTTTTGTATTTTAATTTACTGAGTCAAGGAAAGGCACATTATAAAGGAACTTAGGGCAATTTCAGTACTCTGCTGGTTACAAGCCATAGTGTCAGCAGCTACATACTTGCCAGATAAAATAAAAAATGTCTTAAAAGTTTGAATTAATTTTTACCAGAATGTGCCTTCTACACTAAGCAGTATAAGGTAGGTACCTTCAGTGTGTCAAATAAATTCAATAAATTATGTTGTGCTTTCCAATGGAAAAATTTACAGGTGAGTGGAACTGAGTGTGGAGTATTTAATTTTACTTAAGTATCAAATTTTAATGAAAAAATGTATGATCTTTCTATTATAACACATAAGATATGTAACAATGCAGTCTAACAGTAGGCATTGACCATAATAATAGAAATATTCTGTATATAATATATAAATTGAAAAGTGACATAGAAGAGCAAAATATTTTCATCACAGAGTAGGAAGGCAGGAAGGAGCAGTAGTGGGTTCTTTTTACAACATTGAGAGTCCAGTTTCTCCTCAGAGAAACAAAGAGAATATTTAGCTGAGGATGTTGTGCTCTTCTTATTATAAATATTTTTAATGACCATTCCCTACATTTCTTTTAATAATCAAGTACATATTATTCATTATCTTTGATCTGAAAGTAGCTGTAAACTTTGAAATAGCCAGAAAATGCTCACAATTAAGGCAGCCATCTCTCTTCCTAAAATGTGGCCTAAAATCTGCTTTGCTTCTCTGAAAGTGGTGAGGACTAGAAGAGAAAAAAGCAGACTGCTTGCAAAGACATTTCTTGAGGTGCAAATCCTAAAGAACATAAGGCTCCTTTTGTTGATTTTCAAATGCTATGTCTTCCATACATATTTCTCCCATGATAGGAGGATTACTTACAGACAACTCTAAAGTCCATAAATCTTGAATTTATTTCTTTAAAGTCTTGTACTAAAAATCTTTGGTGTCAAAAAGAGAGATATTCGTGAATAAGGGAAAATATAGTCACGGGGGTATATTTTTAAATGCCTAATTAAGTTCATAGTACAGGGATACAGGTATTTGCTAAAAGTAACCACTAAAGAAAAGTCAGAGAAATAATTTTTAGCCTTCCTAAACAGAGTTGGAACAATATCTTACTCATAGACCATATACAAGGGTGGAAGAGAGAAACTTTGTATGTGTTATTCCATTGAAATTGCAAGCAAAAGCTTTCATACTGAAGTAGCCCCTACAAAAGACAATCCCTGAAAATGGATTAAAACCACACAAATATTAAAATGCTAAAATAACACAAAGCAATAACTTTAAGCACAAGCTTATTTACTGACTATTTGTCATTTTCAGTTCAAATGAAGGACACCAACACACAAAAATTATTAAGAAAACAGGATTCACTTTTCAATCTAAGCCCTCAAGGTAGTAAATGGAATACCTGTCCTACAAACATTGCTTTTCCACTTACGATATTGCCAATTTTTTCTCCACATACCTTGTGTTAGTGCAAGATTCATCCTCAGGGTGCAATTATCACAGCTGAGATGGCCACAACACCCAGAGCGTCCCCACACAATTCCAGAAGGCTCCAACCCATACAACCTTAACACTTCAGGAGGCTGCAAGCTGTGCCCTTCTTGTCCTTCAGCCCCCTTTATGCCCTGCTGTTGGTGCAGTGCCCCTGTGTGCCCTCTGCTCCCTGCGGGGTTGGGCAGCACCCCTGGGCACTCCATGGCTCCTCACCTTCAATAGCATTCACCTGTGCTGCACAGCTGCAGCCCATTAGGGACCAATTAGGGATTAATTAGGGATCAGCCCCAATCACCACCAACCGCGTGCCCACATGCAACCATCTGAAAACTTTAAAAACAGAAAGATGTTATTGCAAAAAAGTTACAACTTAGTTCTTTAGCAACCTTGAGAAAATCAAAAAAGGTAGAAAATAAACCCTAAACACCTACAAAGAAAACATTTACCACTAAGAGAACAAATGCCTTGGCAAAGCAATCTTACTCTAGATAACATGCAGAAATGTAGAATATACATCATTAGATTTCCACCACTGACTCAAGTTATTTCAACTCTAGCACTCTACATAGGCAAATTTATTGCAAATGCAAGAAATTGCATTCAAGTCTAGTCCAGCAATAACTCTAGTCATTTTCAAGGTCAGCATTCTACATAGGCAAATTTATTAGAAATGCAAGAAATTGCATATTCCAAGTCATCCTGGGGGGGAGGGTGTGAAGGCACTTGCAGTTCAAGCAAAACATTTTGTGTCTTTTACCAAATGAAATAATATGCACTAAAAAGAAAAACGTAAAAATCTAATTTTTTTTTTAATTTAATTTTTTTTAAATAAAAAATTAAATGCATGTGAATAATGAATCTAAATCTCAGATGCTGTACACATACATGGAGTAGAAAGATTTTCTTCAAAGACTTTACAAGTAAAACATGAAAATAAAATAACTATCAAATCTAATTGTTTAGCCACACAGAAAGATGACTGGGTTGTGCAAAATTGTTTATGGGTAGGTGTGGACCATAGAAAATCATGGTAGAAAACCAGTATAATGGAACAATGTTTTTGAACTTTGTGTTTTCAGCAAGAGGCTGCCTAGCAGTGGGAAGTTGTGGCCTATATTTGAATTAAACTGTTCTGCAGAGATAGGGGGGCTTGGTTTTCCCTATTATTTTTATTCTGGCAGCATATTTTGACTAGAGAATGCCTGCTTTGAATAAAATTACATGCTAAACTCTAGAAAGGTCACAATTGCTTCATTTAACTGCTGATTCCAACTGAACATCCAAATGCATTGATTCTCATTAGTTTTAATGTTTAATCCTAATAGCTTTTAATAAAAAGTGATTTTTTAACTTTTAATTCTGACAGCAAAGATAGAAAGTCACCTTTAGAAAACTTTAGATAATAATATTTTGGCCCATTGTATACCATCACAACAGGGAACACCACGAGCCATTTCTCATGCCCACAGTAAAATTCTAAATTATGTTTACTGTCCATGCCCACATTGTTCTGGTTTTTCCTAGTCATGCATTACAGCTAGTGTTTTAAAGAGAATCCTCCCACTGCTGAGGTTTTATGCTGAACCAGATTTTCAGCTTGAACAACATAATGTCATATAGCTCAATCAATTTAAAACTTGCATTTCTTGATAGCATTCTTTTAAATACTATTTTCTTGCTACACTTACTTCGAAATAATTGATTATTGAATATTTGGCTTACCTCCCTCCAGCTTGTACAGAAATCATAATACTTGAGCATATACACAATAGCTGTTTTATTTTGTGCAATACAATTCAGCCAATGCAGAATTATGAAGGAGATGAATCATCACTGTAGAAGTTGTGTGATTAAAGCAGAAACTGTCACTGAAGTGATGCTGCTGAAATTACCTGTCATTCTTTGAAAGTCTAAGAAAGATAGTGTACAAGTTACTTTTTGATGACAGAAATGGCAATACTTTGACCAGGAAAAATTCATTGTTCACGGAGCTGTTGAAAAGAAGAGGCAAGAGGAAAATACTAATGGCATTATTCAGCCATCATTCCTGCTTCAGGTCAGGCAGGGCAATATCCTGAGCTGTCTTTTTCAAGGTGCTCATAGACAACACAGAGGAGAAAAATTTTACAAATCTTGTAAATTTTAAAAGGAATGCATCCCGTTTCAAAAACTCCACATTCAGCTGCAATAAGACATGTTCAGTTGTGAAAAATGCCTCTCCTGCCTCAGTAAAATACACATTCCACAACTGGCACTGCACACCAGCTTAGGAGAAATTTTGCCTGTCCAAAGAGATCCAATTTACAATAAAACAAAGAGAATACACCATCAATAAAATTTTTGGGGTTATTTTATTTTTTTCTTTTTTTTTTCCAATTTTAACTGGTAGTTACAGTAACTTCAATGCCGTTCTAAGGCAATCATGGAACTTTTGAGAGTGCTGAATATCACCCAAGCTAATATTCCACTCCATTTTTCCATTTCTGCACATATTTGCCATATATAGGCCCAAATGCCATGTTTCTTACCCAGCTTTAACTCAGAATTCCCTTCTTTGCAAGAGAGAATAGAGGATGGGAAAACAAACAAATATATTACAATTTCTGACAGTGGGGTCAAGATCCTCCAACAGTTGCAGTTTCCAATCCCTTACAATAAAAGTTCCTTACTTTTCTAAACAGTTGCCCAACTGAAAATTACTATCTAAAATAGATTTGGAAGAGTCAGGTTCAAGTTTAAACTGAACAGTATTTTAGACATTTTCTGGACTTTGGTGAGACAGAAAAAGTTCATACACTTCATACACTTATTTTCAAATATAAAAATAATCAGAAAAAAATACCTTGTCTATATATCAACTATATATACATTAACTATATATCCTGTCTTTTCTTTCAAATTTTTTGAACATGCTTAACATTCAGTTTTAATTGCATAAGGATAGGCATGTTCAGCATGAAAATTCCTTCAGTTAATTCTGAATCCTCTTTGCTATAGATCAGGGTACTGATTGCCTTGTGGTGGGTGTGGAGTTGACGAAGTAGAGATGGGAGGAAGGCTCTGGGGGTTGCACAGCTTGGTAATTCTGCTTTTTTGAGAACTGAAACAGAGAGAAAATTGTTCAGTGTGTCTTTTTCCCCATTCCTTCAGTGACACAGATCTAGCAGAAGTGAAGTGAGAACGTCATCCCTTTTTTCAGGGTTTCAAGACACAGAGAATCAAACATCCTGAATTCTCAAAAGAAATACTTACTGACAATGGAGAAACAAACACACTTTTCACACAGTAGCAAAAATTAGCTGAGCGTTTGCTTATTATACATTGAAAACCCCCACATTTTAAGAGTTTCTTTTAAATCATGCTAAGTAAATGACACTGCCAAGGGAAGGAATAAAGTCTCAAATAACAAATAATACTTGTATTTAAGGGGAAAGAAAATGCTCTGCTTCTGATACATTGGTGATTTGACTGCATCATAACTGGTGTTGTTCCAGATTAGGACAGTGTGCTAGGAAATTATCAACATATGCATCATATGCACCATATGCTGCCTTTATTCTCCCACTTTTCATTAAACATCTACTACAAGACAGGACATTGGACTATGTGAAAGTCCAGTCTGATACAGTATTGTGATTTTTGTGGTAATTTGGCTTTGTTTTTAATTTACTGGCAAGAAATAATTTTTCTTTCTAAATCACTTGACTGGATGAAATGCCATTTTGAAAATTTAAAAATATTTCTGTTTTATACTTACTATTGTATTAATACCTGTGACACCAATTTGCAATTTATTTTAAATATGTTTTTTGTTGTGGTTTAGCCCCAGCCAACAACCCAGCCCCAGGCAGCTGCTCACTGGAACCCCAGCAGTGGAACAGGGGAGGAAATGGAAAGGGTTGAAGCCGGAAAATTCATGGGTTGAGATAAGGACAGCTTAGTAGGGAAAGCAAAAGCCACACACACAGAAGGAAAAAATGGAATTAATTCCCTGCTTCCCATGGGCAGGCAGGAGTTCAGCCTTCTCCAGGAGAGCAGGGCCCCATCACAGGGAATGGTGGCTTGGGAAGATGAACACCGTCACCCCAAATAGCCCCCTTTTCCTCCTTCTTCCTTCTTGTCCCCAGTTTCTATCCTGACCATGACACCGCATGGTCTGGAAAGTGCCTTTGGTCACTGGGGTCACCTGTCGTGGCTGTGCCCCCCCCCCCCCTGCCAGGCACCCCCAGCTCCCTCAGCAGCAGAGCTCACAAAAAGCAGAGAAGGCCTTGGCTCTGTGCAACAACAACAACAACAACAACAACATGCATTATCAACCCTGTGTTCAGCACAAATCCAAACACAGCCCCACACCAGCCACTGCTGTGAAACTCAACTCTACCCCAGCCCAAACCAGCACACCATGACTTGCACACAAACACACAACTGTCCCTCTGCCCCCAGTTCTCCTTCTTCTCACAAAGCAGAACACACATGCCAGAACTTTCCCAGCAGTTTTTGTCTTGCAGATTCATTTGTTTCTTTCCATGCCCCTGCAACCTCTTTTCTTGGCTATGTGCAGTAGATCAGTCTTCAGAAGCTATTCCAGATGAGAATGGATGACTTCAGGTGGTTTATTTTTGGCACAGATCACCTCCCCTGTGTGCTTCACTGAGTGATGGAGCACAATCCTTGCACTGGCCAGGGAGCTGCAGAAGTCCTACAATGCCAGGGCACAAGTGGTGGAGACTTCTTTTAGCAGCACCATTTGAATAAGCTGATTTGGAGCACACTCCAAAGCAGTCTCAGTCACTTTTGCCCTGTCACTGTTGGACATCCACAGCTCCCTGGCCAGTCAGCCTTTACAGCCAGCCCACACATCTCTGAGGAATCGCAGATATCACTTTAATAGTTAATGTTCTAGGTCAAGACATCCCAGTAGAAAAAAAAAAGAAAAAAAAGATTGATTAGTAGTTTCTTTTCTGTGATGTTCAGAAGTTACTGCTGAACTTTTTTGCTCCAGTATACGGACAAGTTTGGTCTGTGTATTTTGATTATCCTCATCCTATTGAAGGAATTGTGAATGTTCTAGTTAGACAAGAGGTTCTAAGAGCATTTGCTGCTGAAGAGTTATTACTCACATTTGAATCCAATATCTTGACATCTATTGGCACCAATATTGACAGCAATACAAT